AAAAAAACCCCAAACCAAACCAAAAAACCAACAAGAGGCAAGATAGGATAGGGTGCGTCCCGCAGGCCGGGGCTGCGGAGGAGGAAGAGCTGGTGTCTTCCCACCTACCTGCAGAGCTGCGGGTAACTCCCCCGGCCCCGGCGGGGGCGTATCGAGGATGCCCGAGCAAGCCCGGGTGCCTACAAATGAGGAGAGACTTCAGTGCAGACGAGCTTTTGCGTGCTTGTTCAGTGAGGGGCAAAGCCCCCTCATAACTGTATTCGTGTGCACCCTGTCCATCCTAGTCCTGTACCAGAATTGGGGGTCTGTGGTACAGCTGAGAATCTGGGGTTGGTTTTTGGTGTGGCACAAGCTGCAACTCTGGGCAGCCCACAGGCCGCTTCTAGCTTTCATCAGTAATTTCAGTATAGCCCTTTTGTGGAAGATGTAGAGGATTTCTATAATCTTCAAATTACAAGCACAGCTAGTGCAACAGAAAAAAAGAGTCTTCTGTTGTGGAAGTTATGCAACAGTGGGAGATGGAAAACATCTTGTAAAGAAAATGTTTTGCATTTTTTTTAATCTGGAAAAAATGTACAGAGATGTTTGTAACTGTCTACAAAGATAAACTCTTTCTTTTTTCAAGTGCTGAAGCTGGCTTTCTTCACATAAATGGTGCTGCATGATTTATTCCAGTTGGCTATGCAATTACCAATGGACATTTAACCATATAGAAAGAAAGAGCACTCCTCCAGCTAGGTCCCCGAGCTGAGGGGCTTCAGTTCCCCTTCGTAACAGAAGGCACAAAACATCAGAGGCCGGTGCTTTCTGCAAAAATGCAGCTTTCTCTAGCTGCATTTCAAATTTTCCCATCTTTATGAATTAGCCTAATGGTCAGAAAGTGGAGAGCAGTTTAATTCCCTTGTTGGTGTAAGTGGTTTATATAGAGATCTCCTATCTCCCTGGAAAGTGCCACAACCAACACAGATCTAAGCTACACCGGATGGGGTTCCCTTTTCTGTTCAAGCTGTGTAATGGCTATGAGGTTCAAGTTTCACTGGGCTCTGCTTTGTAATCCGGCACTGGGGTTCCCCAAGAGGGAAGCAGGAAAAATGGAAGAAATCCACAGCTGCTGGAGCTGCTGAACTCACCTGGGGCTCAGCTGAGAAGCTGCTCACTAAGCTGTTGTGTCTTGCAGCCACGGCTCCATCTACTCTACCCGTGTCATGCACGCTCACCCTTTCTGACTCAGCAAGAGCTTTCTCACCACTGACATCTCTCTCTCTGCACTGCTGCCTCCCCTCTATCATTCTAAGCAGTTCCCTGAAAACTAGAACGGAAGATGTTCTGAAAAGGAAGATGTGCACAAGAAAACAAAAAAAAAATTGCCAAGTAGTGGTTAGTAGCTGAGCATTCACTCAAGGTATAGAAAATACGAGTTCTCCTCTCAGGACCGTTTCTGTATTTCACCTTAAAAGCTGCTAGGACTTGCCTGCTCTGTCTCCAGTTCACAAATTGTTCCGAGTCTCATGAGATGCATAATTCTTTGTTACTACACAGGGTGTTTGGATTTTTACAAATGTCTAATATTTATTTGTAAGTCTAAACCTTAGAACCAAAATTCTGTGGAATTTTTGGTTTTTAATTCTTAAAATTATGTGCAGACTGGATTTTTCCTGGTGCCCATGAGAGCTTGCTTCTGTAATTGTGATGTCCATGGCCATGAGCTCATGTATTTAAAAATTCAAACAATAAAAAATGTTCTAGTAGTGGCAGCCATTTTGTCAGGAACAGACATAAGATAAGCACTATAAAATAGACATAGCACTTCACAAGTGAAAACACTTTACACAATTCTCTTATTTAAGCTTATACTTTGTAAGGCCTGTATTTACAACAGGGGCCTTGTTATCAATTAAAAATCTGATTTGGTACCTTTCCTGCCAAGTCTACAAACCGTTTTAAGTCCTATATTATTTGCCTGTGTTTGTGTACACACACATTCAGGGTATTACTAAAGTTAAAAGCTGTGTAAGTTCAAAACAAAGTACAATTGAAATCCCTTTAATGTTGAATTAAACGGAGCTGATATAAATCAACTATACTGAATATTCAGACAAGGGGTTGTGATCATTTATCTAAATAAGGGAAACAGTTACAGAAGATAAATACAGACACGCACCTCCAAGAGAATACTGCCATTGCCACATGAACAATCTCGTAACAGCACCAATGACGTTCACTTTGTTTCCGTGTCAGAGCATACACAGAGATAGCTGGAGTTATATCCTATTTTACATCCCTAAGACAGCCTGCATTCCTGTCTCCAGACTTGGCTCAATCTTTTTTCTGATTTTCTCTACCATTTCTCTTGCTACACAAATGAGGAACAGATTATTACTAAAGTGAATCAGAGCAAAGCATAATTCCAATTACTCTTTGAAAACAGAAGAAAGAATGACTATGCCGGTAGTGCAGAAAACAAAATTAAAATGCCTTACTTTAAAAGAAATAAGGAGGACATTTAGTACAGCTATTTGACCTTGTTCTCTCCGGCTCAACTTTGTTTTTCCCACTGTATATTTGTAATAAGACTTAGGATAAAATCCTGTTCCCGCCGACTGAGAAGGTCAGGAATTCACTTTTTGTTTAAGTGCAAAACAGATGTGACATTTTATCAGCATGACAAACATTTCAAATGTTAGATAATTTTTTTTTTTAACAGTACAGCTCAGATCAAGTACTTGAAAAAATACTATGGGAAGGGGGAAGAGAAGGTAAAACCTTATTGATATAAACTCTTCCACCTAAAAATATGTATCATATTCTGAACAAAAAATTTCAATCATGTGAACCATGAGTGCAAAGGTTTTAAAAAAAATTAAATGCATGAAGTATGGACACGGTAAAAAACCCAAACATTTTGCTTATAAACTCTATGTATAACTGCATGTCAAGAACTAGAAAGTACAATTTTCTGTGAATGTATGAATGGAATATGATCATCATTTTTAAGTAATTTTAACATGTTCCTTCTTACAGTAGGAAAACTAATGCATGACAAAGGCAGATCATATTTTGAGTCAAATGAACAGTAACTTTTCCAACACTAAAAAGTGTACGTATTTTTAATATGCATTTAAGTGAGACAAAAACGTAACTGAGACAGATGCAGCTATTTTTATCATTTTAGCTGGCTTTTTCAGAGCCAGTTAAAAAGTGTATGCTACTGTTAATAGAAAAATATAAACATTACATATTATGAATTTATTTTTGCCTCATTCACTTAGGAAAAGTTGCCATCTCTTTTGCTGCTTCCCAGAATGATCAGTCAATTTTTTAGGGTAAAAACATTCATTACTTTTAAACAACAGATCAGTTCGGAGGTATATGTCCTGTCAGAGGTTTACATCCTTATAAAAACTACAGCAACATCAGCATTTACTTTTTATTCAGGAGAGGAAGTAGCTGCCTTCATGCTGAGCTATTCCATTTCTTTTTCTTCTTTTGCAGTGGAGCTTCCGATTTTAGCTTCTCTGGAGTAATTTTTCTCTTTCTTTTTACTGTTTTATCACTTTTATCAGTCCAACAAACTTTGTTTTTCCTGACTATTGATGATTTTTCATCTTCATTTGCTGAAAAAAAACAAGAAATTATTCAGGCTGATATTTATGTCCAGTCGTTGTAGTCTAAAATGGCAGACACTTATTTGTATCTCATTTTAAAAAAGGGGTTATAAATGATTTTTTGTTTACAGCGGAATGTGCCATTTATGCTAGTTTTGCCCGTGATAAGAAAATATCTAAAGATCAAGTATGTAAATAGATTACGATACAGGAAAACAACAGCAAAAAAAAAAAAAAAGCTGAGCCAGACTTCCTAAGTTTGCTCAACTACATTGGCCTCAGACCTAATTTTGTTTAGGGGAAAACAAGACATGCAGTTCTAGCAAACTGTTTATTCTTTTCTTATCTGTCTCAAAAGCTTCACAGTGGCTTCCTCAGCATGTTATTCCAGTAAAGAGAAACAAAACTTCCATATAATGGAAGTGAAAAGAGGCTTATGTCCTCCAACATACATACAGGCTTGAGACACTATCAGATCGGTAAGGATATCTGTATCACTTGCTAGTTCTTCAAGATACAAAAACTTTTTCCAATGAATATAGTAAAACCTCCCATTTAGTATATTCTATTTCACAGTCACATTAACAACCACAAATACACACAGTTCTATTACCTTGAGATGATGTTGCAGCTTTATCAGAATTTTCTTTCATTTCTGAAGCTTGGTCAAGCCATACTGCAAGACATGTCAGCCTAGCTTCGGTATTGACTTCACACAATAAAGACGGCACATCTTTAATCTGAAGATAATATAGAAGATGATTAATTAAACATTATTTTATTTCTGTTCAAATTTACTGAGGTATTTGAAGTGAGAAAGCACCTTCCACTTAATTTCTGGTGCCTAACAACGTTTAGAACTAGAGGCTGTATACCAGTTAACGGTCACATCGTTACAGTCCTGTTCCTGATACCATTCCTCAGTGGTGGTTTTACAAAACACTCCCAATGGCTTTAAGAATGTATCTTGATAAGCAAGATCAGTGGGTTTCAGGCACATGGGGGTAAGTTTAACATGAGGAATAAGTAGATGAGTCATAGACCCACAAAAAAAAAACCTGTTAATGGTTTCAGAAGTTTCTCCAGACTAATAGGTATTTTTTGGTATAGCTAAAATAATTTGAAGTAAGTTAGTGCATCAGATTCCTTTTCTCCCTCACAAAGACAAGGCTGCTGATTAATCTCTCCAGGGTGTGTTTCAAATTGCTTAACTGCAATTGTATCAGTCAGCTCTGGGAATACTTGAGCAAATATCTTATTACAGATACCAGGGGATAAAGTGTCACAAACACACGTGCAGCATAACAGCATCAACCCATCAGAAACTACTTGTATTAGGATATTCTACCTCACAGAGCTGGACAGAGCAGCCCACACAGTTACACAAAGTTTTACAAATGTTGCCTGCACAGGAAGAAAATAACACATTTGGTCAAAATAAAGACAGTGTTACGGAGAAAGGTAAAGAGTTCCCTGATCACTATGTCAATTACGTGCAAGGGGAACAGAAATTTGAGGTGAAGGGAAAAGAGGGAGTTTCACTACTGCACTTAGGAGTGTAAAAATAATCAGAGGGGGTGAAATTAAAAGCGGGCAAATTCAGATGAGATATATAAAGTGTACAAATGTTGAGAGATAATTATTTGAACTATTCAAGATACTTATAGTGGAATATAGTAGATCCTTTATTACTAGGCATTAAATTTAAAAAATCTAATTCTGATTTTAAAAGACAAACCCCACAGCAAACAATAAACATGGGAAATTTTAAAGATAAGACATGATTCCTTGTTGAACTGTGCTACTCAGAACTGACTGAAAATACAGGAAACTAAAGTACCCGGTACATTAATGTGTTTGAATTTTTCAGAAGGACTTTTTCCCCCCACATGACCAACCACCACCACCCTCAAACCATAGAGTTTGTGTTTTTAGAAGAGTAGCAACAGTCATCAACATTACAAAAATTCACAGCAGTCCTTAGAACACATATAACTGATTAGACAGTCATAAATCTGGCCAGGTAGGTCTGAAGGGAAGCATGACTTTACATAAAGAGGAGATGAGATCTCCATAATATCATCAGATTTTACAGTTTGTTTAAAAAAATTGCAAAGATACAAAAATATACAAGTGCATAAAAATATGTGCATAGACATATACATCTCTACTGAACATAACATGGAGGAAGATCAAGACATCCAGATTTCAAGTAAAGTTTCCTCAGTGATTTAAAATAAATCTTTATAACAGAACTGTCTGCAAATTTGGTTGTCTGATATTTTTCCATAAATGTAATAAGCCGTTTAATAGACCAACCTTATTAAGATCCAGATTCCACATTTTAATGTAACCATCACTGGATGCAGTAACAATAACATGTTGTCCTTCTCTTTCAAAACTATAGATATCTTTTATTCTGTGAAGAAAATGTAATACTTTGTTACTTTATAGCATGGCAGTTCACTTCAGAACAGTAAGCTGACAGACATTAAAGATTAATAGGCAACAGTCTAAAAATCAGTTTGAACAGAAAACCCACAAATGACAGACAGGAACTTGGGAATGGTAATCTGGTTTGAGTGCTGTCATTTACAGTAGGAACACTTGCCTTTGCTAGGCTTGTTAGGATTCAATTCAGAATGCTTTAATACTTTTAAGCACACACTACTAACCACATCAATGACATTTTAGCTAATGCTTTTGTGTTTTGATGAATTAAAAGCAGCATTTGGACAAATATTTGGTATTTGACAACAACAGAGAATATGTGATTGCCCTCCTATTGTCTGAACAATAGGTTTGTTTTATTTAAGCATTCTAAAGAGTCAGGTTCTGTAAAGACTGGTTAAACATTCTTTAGATGGTCTTGCAGGAAAATACTGGTACCCAATTTCAGAAATGCATAGACCACACACATAGAAACGTGTACGTGTGTGTGTGTGTGTGTGTGTGTGTGTAAAAATACACACGCTCGGCACTTTTTAGAACTGTAATATTTCTAATTCTGTACCCTGTTGGTTTCGGAACGTGCATGGACAGCACAGTACTTGTGCTCATACTAAAAGCAAACAAGTCTGTCCCAAATTTGGACTTTAGCACATAAATAAATTCACTTCCTATACTAAAACAAAAACAATAGTAAAATATGCTGAATATTACAAGTCATTGAACTTTACTGAGTACTCAGCATTGCCATAAATATTTAAATAGTAAACAAATATAGAATACCTGTTTTCATGAGCTTTAAATTCACATAGGCATTTTTGAGAGTCACAGCTGTAGAACCTTATAATTTCATCATCTCCGGCTATGGCAAGGATAGAATCCTTGGAATGGGAAAAAAGAAATGCAAGTGTGATTAATTTCATGTGTTTCAAACCAGTTAATTTCCCAGCACCTTTCTTTTTTGTACTTACTGTAATAAATCTAAGTGAAGAAACTCTCTTCTCTGTTGTGATAGTGCCAGTGATCGAAGCTGTGTCAAGTTTGTAGATATCCACTTTATTTGTTATCACGGTCACATACCTCTCTCCATCAGGGGACCATTTGATTATGTGGGCATCTGTACACATTGATACATTTGTATACACATGTACACAGCTTTTTTGCACTCTATACTGCATGAGAATCTAGAAGTAAGAATCTTTAGAAGCTGCTAGACACTGTTTTCTACCTAAACCTGAGAAAAATTCAGGAAAAAATCAAATAACCTAGAATAAACAAGTAAAACTATGCTCTTAAATGTTTATTTCTGATTATCAGAAGTGTATAAAGAAAAACAAAACACATTTATTTAAATGTCCTGACATCAAATTTCAAGGAAAAAAAATTTACTTTAGTGTCACTATGTTTTCCTTTTGGTAAATGATTATTATTAAGGACATAAGCTTACATATGCTTGCCTGCATGTGTAAAAAAGACATTGTGAAAGTTGCTTGCAATTAACTGACTTGTTGATTAATTCAGTCTACTTTTCTTTACACAAAATAAAACTATCTAATTCCACTTTTTTAGTGGATTTAGACTGATAAACTCACTTTGCTTCAGGTTCTTGATAAAGGCTGATCGTCCTTCTACAAGATTCCAAGTTCTGAAAGACAACAGTAGATAATGTGCATTCTGGTTAAAAACAGCACAGTGAAACTGAAGTCCTCTCTGCTGACATGAGGCATCCAAAGGAAGCTTTTAAGCATCTCTATGCATTTTACTGCCTTCTTAATGCAAGAGAAAATGATGACTTCATATATTGCTTGCACACTATAAGGCTGAATTTGTGATATTTATTTTATAAGCCACTATTTGCAATGCAAAGCCCAATACCAATCTGTGCTGTTAAAATAGCGTTTTATGCATTTAAAACACATACATACAGCAACACGTACACACCCCAAGTGAAAAATCACTTCTCTCACACTAAACAAAACCTGTCAGCTTTCAGAGGTTTAAATAAATGGTGTTCCAAAATGCAAATGTATTTATACATCTACAAGTGACTATAAAGAGTCAGAGCACAATAAGAAGCTAGGAACAGCAAGGACTATTTTTAAAAGGCTTTAAAATATTGCTAGCACCTAGAACTTAAAAAGACAAACTAATGGATCTTTGAACTATTTCATGTCCAAATATGTTTTACCAGTGTTGCACGGCCTACTCCCAACACAGAATTGTGGCTTATAAAAATTTACTAAGGGTTACTGAATTATGATTCTCAGCATTCCTTTATCAGTTTCAACTCACCTTAATGTTTTATCTGTTCCTACTGACAAAGCTAATTTCCCAGAAGGATGAATAGAAAGAGATGTCACGTGCCCCCTGATAAAAACAAAACAACGTATTAGCCACATATATTATTTGCAAGAAAAATAAATATTAAAACGTATGTGAATATGCAGATTTAAGAAACTCACTTATGTGCCTTAATGGATTTCAGGCATTCCCATCTCTTTGTGTTCCAGATACAAATTAGTCCATCTTCAGCCCCACTCAGTAGATGTGCAGTGCCATAGAACTCCAAACAAGTTATCGTGCCTAGAAATACAAACCAGAGCTATTAACAATATTATACATAATAAACAGAGAGAATGTACGAATTAACAGAGAATGTACGAATTAACAGAGAAGCTTCTAGCATCAAAACATGCCAGCTACTACCTACCCCTGGGAAAATCTGAATTATTTCCCAAGTATTTCTTCACAAAACCCCCGAACTTTCTTGTTATATTCAATCACTGATGTGCTCTGCCAGCCCCTCTATAGCCATACACGTCTGAACTCCATCTGGTCCGTTCCCTGAAACAGCAGTACTCAACTACTGTGGCTCAGGTGACACAGAGCTTCTATCAGTGATAAGGAATTCTCCTATGTCAAAGCCCTGCTCTTGACACACAGTTGAATTTATGGCACATGCCGCTTCCCATAAACACCAGATTTATCATACATGAGTTGAACGCAGGTACCACATTCAGTCTAGCTCCGTCTACTTCTTGGTTATCAGGAGAAAAAGGACAATCAGGATTGAGCTACAAATGACCTAAACACGTTTATTTGGACAGCCATTAACTGATGTTTTTCACAGCTGTAATTCAGGAGGCACATAAAGTAGGAAATGTACTAGGTTAACTCTTCCGGCAGCAGCAGCCTGCTCTCACACACAGACTCTCTCCTTTGTGTGGCTCATGTACGTCTGTAACAGGACAAGGGCACTGGGAAAGATGGTTGCTGGGAGTAGGCATGGTCTAGATAAACTGCCCTGGTAGAACAAAAATGGCTCACGAGCCATTTGTGGGCCGTAACTTCTTAAACAGTTAAAACTAAAAATAATTGGAAGCAGCAGGTATATTTGTGGGCTAATACCCAAAATTATTTTTGGACTTTTATGCTCAAAAGCTTACCTTGCTTGTATCACCAGACCATCACGGCTGCAACACCATCACTATTAAAGACTTATTAAAAAAAATTCAATTTTCTTCTTCTGGCAAGGGCCAGTTTTTCAGCTATAAGTTTCTATCATTAATGCTTTTTATGAAGAAAAGCTCCCGTACCATTGTGCTGCAGCAGTGCCCCATGTTCTATCTTCTTTTTCATGTCATAGATTTGGATCGTCTCATCTCTGCTCCCAGTGACCACATATCTGTTATTCACTGCTACCGCTGACAATGAGGCGGAGTGGGCATGATGTGTAAAATCTGGCACAACCGTCCAGGACTGTAAATGAAATACAAAACGAACAGGTCTTTCTGAAGCTTACCATAGTGAGCTTCAACTTCATTATGCTGTTTGGTTTGGTTTTTTTTTTTTAATAAAAGCAAAACCTGAAAAAGTATATGTGTAAAATGCAAAGGAATTATACTTAGCTAGAAGTATAATGGGATCTTATCGAGTTAATGTGCTGTTAAGAGATTAGTCTGAACGATTTAAGCGTGCAAACTGCCTCTTGTAATCAGTGTTGGGCTTAGATGAAGCTGTACGTGAAAAAGTGTCTGCACAGAGACAAATCTCATGGACAAGGGAGGCAGATTTTCCCTTTTTCCACCACTGCAGGCTGGAGACACGCCTTCCACCTGGCACCGGCCCCCTGAGACAATGTGGCACCCATCCCCTGCGCAGCTGTTTATTCTCAGCTCTGCGCTGAAAGGCTGCGAGGAACCAGCTTGCACCACAGCCCCCCGCACCCGCGCGGCCGGCCGCTTCCCGGAGCTCGAAGGATCCGCAGCT